ATTTCACTCTACCTACATAAGAGAAGTCATTATCCACACCACACCACTAAAACAGCCCAGCCAAGACACAGACATACACCAGCACAACACAGGACATGCCACCAATTTTTCCCTCCCACAACACCATGTGAGTCTGTACGAGCAGAAACTATCCTACAATGATGCTCTGTACTTTAACAACCTACCAGAGCACCTTAAGAGAGAACAATCCAATCTGTTCAAGAAGCACCTGACAACATGGCTTATGGACCGGCCGTTCTACTCTGAGGATGAATTCTTAAACAATAAGCTACCATAAAAAAAGAAGAAAAAAAAATTCTAATTGTAATTGCAAATGACTGTAATAGTTTATGTACATACTCATACTGTACATTTTACGTACCTGACGCATGAATGTTCTCTAGGAATATTTCAATAAAGATTTTGTCTATTGTCTATTATTAGTTTCCCTGTAGCAGCTAACCTAGGTACTCGTTAAACATAAATGTTAATTTAATAGATTAATTGAAAATCAATCCAGGCAAATGGAAATTCGCTAAGTTGGCAGGTTTCCTGCATCGGGGGTATTTATATTTCATTCTACAATAATGATTGAAACTGTAGCTTAAAGTTTGTTCGTTATTCATACTATTTTTACTTATTTACAGAATGTTTTTGAATACAACATTTTTTGTTTTCCCAGAAGTTGGTCATCACCAGACTCGTAGCTGAGCTGACCCGTGAACATGCAACATAAAATTGTCCATGAGAAAAACAATCCTCTCTTAAGTCTAGTCATGCGATCTTAAGTGACTGTCCCTGCGCTTTGTCGCCATTGCAATGAAAAGTATTAAAGCATTAATGTTGATGGTGAGGGCGAAGCACACTTTGAAAGGGAATTGCAACCTTTTAAAATCAAACAGGTAGTCAAAGGTACACACACCACTGCTTAGACATTTCATAGAAGTATTCCCTGGAATTAAGGTAATTATTTTGTCACTGTCGTGGTATAAGATTGATAAGTAATCCCAGTTCCTCACAAGTGTGTGTATGTATAAGGTGAATTATGAATGAGTATGAGAGTGAAGAGTGAGTATGAGAGTATAAACACTCTGATGTGAATGATATTGTGTAGAACGAACCCCCCATTAACATCCTTATGAAACGGTTTAAACAACTACAAAAATATTGACAGAACTATATCATAATTTCTTAAAAATTAAAATCCAATAATAAACTAAGTTCAATTTTACTTTCTTCAACACTAATCACACATATTAGAAGTTGATAAAATTAAAATGCCACTTTAAATTAGGTTAATTTCACTGACATACAACTAACTGTGATGTTGATGATATTGTCTGAAAAATAAGCTAAACTTCATTTTTATTCTAACAGGTTATGATTAAATAGATTGCAGGCAACTGCTGTCATCTTACTAATATTATAAATGTGAAAGTTTGTGTGTTTGTTTGTATGTTTGAAGTTCAATCACGCATAAACCACTGGACGGATTGGGCTGAAATTTGGCATGATGATAGCTTACATTCCCGATTAACATATAGGCATATTCTTATCTCAAAAATCCTTTCGGGCTCCGCCCAAGTGGCTCTTTAATTCCCCATGTTAACCTTATGAGTATTCATATAAAGGGAATTAAAGAATTTAGTCAGCTGTTTCAACTAAACAAGTTGGTTCTATGATATGGAAAAGCATTAAAAAGTTATAAGATTTACCAACAGGGTGCAGCACTATATTTTTTTTGCATTTATAAAAACAGCTAATTTGAACTAAGCAGCAACAAAAAACTGTGATTCGCAATGAGAACTGTCAAAGTAGGATTGTTTACAGTTATGTTTATGTTTTTCATTTCATGAATAATATGTTATATTTTGCGAATTGAATTTATTTTTCTCTATTGTTTAGATGAAGTGGTAGAACATTATGGCTATGGTAGATGTGTAATACACTGTAAATTTAAAAACAGCAAATTTTATCAAACTGTATCCTCTCTTTTTGCTAACGCAAAGCTTGAGTATAACTGCAATAAGCATTTTATACTTGTATTCCAACCCCGTACGAAGGACGGGTACTCTGCTAGTTTCAAATATTTCTCATCTAAAATAATGTAAACAAAAACCCAAAACAAATTATTCTTTCTATACAAACTCCATGCTAACTTTGACCTTCTGTGGGGCTGGGCTCATTGGGAATTTTATAAAATCGCTTTTTATTGTCTGCCTATGCTATGAGAGGAATATGTATGCAAAATATCATGCTCCTAGGTGATATGGTTTGGCCTGTGCGTTTATCGGAATTTCGCATTTATGTATAGAAGAAGAAGATTTGTTTCTTGGTACCATGTGGTCATTGAATTAGACTTAAGCATATATTTTAAATGCAATAAACTATATAAAGTGATGGTAATACAATAAGAAATCTGCATTTAAATATTCAATAAGTACGATTGAGCTTTATGTATATGTTTCCTGGTAAGTATGCTGTAACTGTTTCTTATAGTTTATTAAAAAAACCGAATTATTCTTTTCTGCATTCTCACCCCGTAGTGAAGCACGGGCAGAGCAACTAGTTATATTAAATGTGTCCAGAGTATCAATGTCGAAGGAACGACTATTTGCAATTGAGTTTCATCTAATATTTCAAGGGATGGCTCCTGTCTTCTTCACTTATGATTGTTAATCACTTGAATATGATTATTTAAAATGAGTGCTCAAGAAAGAAGATCAGAAGTTCTTGATAAGTTTATTACACGTCCCTCCCTACAGGCTTACAATGTCACAATCATGCAATTGCAGATGAGTATGTTGCTTTATGTTTTTGGCTGGTGATGTAAAGTATCAGCGGTTGAAGTAAGTTACAAATGCTTTTCATGCTTTGTTTTATTAATTCCTTTTTACTGGATATTTGAGAAAAGTACTTTTATGTGTGTACATTCCGCTTGATGAAAACATCGTAGAAACTATAGACCTGCAACTGTTTAGAGCCTATGAGGGTTATAAGAACAACAATTATTAAACATTGTGCAACGTTTTTATGTTACTTTTAAGATACATAATACGTTTTGTTTTCAATAAAGTTATAGGAGAACTGACTGAACTATTGGAAAATTAGGTTTAATTGTGTATAAACCTAAGTGATAGGAGATACAGCGGGAATAGTTTTATGGCCAAAAACATTATGTAGGTGGTTTCAGAATGAAGCTCCTGGTGGAAGGACAGTTAATTAATGCCTTTTAAAATGAAGAAGTTCTACCTTAGTTAACTTAAGTATTCACATGTTTACCTTAAATTTTCATGAGCAAAGCCACGACGGGTGAAGCTAGTATTTCTCATAAAAATGTTCATTCTGGAATTAACATGAGACGTATGCGAGTGGACAGGGACATCTCCCACGGTTGTAGGGACATCGTCATTGTCTCCTGTGAAAGTTATTGTAGTCATCCGTGATCGCGGCAATAGTGTGAATTTTTTAATCGTGTGATCCTTCCACAAGCGATCTGCAATTGCAATGTTATTGCGATCGTAAAGTTCAGCTTGAGCTTGATTTGACTTTTTGCTCTATATCTCGTGTAGACCAGGTTCCGCCCTTCTCGAAAATCAATACTCTCTATTAAAATAAACTTTCCTAAGCAAACCGATTTTGACCCAATGTGATTTTGGTCCGATACCCAAGGGAAACATTTTTGACCTGAGGACCCAAAGTTAAAAAATATAGCCCGCAGACCCTTCATAGTATTAATGAAAAATAAAATGAAATTATTTATTATCTAGTGTCCTAGCCTCCCAGGTTTATTTGCCGATCTGATTGTGGAAAAGAAAGATTCAAGTTAATTTAGTTATGCATGGGAGGGAGTCTCTGGTGTGCATACTTTAAACACAACTATGTCCAGCCCAAATAAATCACTAGCCAAGCAAACAAAGCAAACCAATCGAATGTACACAGAATATCTTGAGCTAGGGTGGTCTTGAAATGTACAGAAACGGCAACTCTGAGCTAAATAAACATTCATCATGAAAAATGTTGTTTCTCGTTATTGTTCATTCTAACCCGAAATGGTAGAGTTAGAGTATGATTACCACAGCTCAAGATTTCCCGTGAATAGTGAACATGTTAGGAAGCAGCTTAACAACTAAGGATGATAAAAATGATAAAAGCTGATGACTTTGGTGGTACGCAACCTTTAACTTAATGTAATATGAGGTTTGTAAGCTTAAGTAGAATTACCTACCCAGTATCGGCCAGTTGGTGAGTTTGGGCAATGGTTGAATTACTCAATCATGCATTTACACTGCATGAGGGGTTATCCTCTTCACTGCAGTGGGAAACATAGAGTTAGTACATAGAGTAAAGAGCGTAGAAGTACCACAACCGAAAGCCAAGTGCTTGCTCACCATAAAGATAAAAAATTGTGCAAATAACCATTGGATAATATTTACAAATAGGTAACACAAATTGGATTAGTTTTGTAACATTTGGAAATCAATTAATAAATATACGTTAACCTTATTGTGAACGAAATGGAATTGTAAGGTTGAAAGTGATTGATAAATAAAATATTACAATTGTATGTCCAACTCTTTAGTCTTTTTTTATGTTCTATTGTAAGTCTAAATTGTAGACCAATGATTGAGGGGGCGTCATGCACCCTATGGTAACAATGAAAAATTAGCAACCGCTTAAGAAGGATAAGAGCCTCTTGGTAAAAAGACAAATATCTAAATCCAGTTTGAATTACTACTACACCAAATCCTTTGATTGATGTAGTACAAACCTTGATTTACCGCCCCGAAATTTGTACCTATTAAGGGTTGATTATTGTATTATTATTAGGCTATCCAATATTTACAGTTACAGTACAACCAAATGATTCAGCCCCAAAACAAAACTAATTCAACCTACCATATTAAGCCCAGCGTTTTTAATAAGTTTTTCAAACACTGGCAGCAGTAATCAAAGCAATTTACATTGTTTTATGCAAAACTACACTTCTGTTGACTCACATTGAAGATGCTGAAATTGATTCAGAATTGGTACAACAATCAATTTCCATCGGGTGCATTGATTGTTTTGAAACTGATTGTCTGAAATTTCATTCAATAGAACTTTAAATCCTAAAGTATAATTTTTTTTAATTATTTATTTTAAAATTGAACTGCCACTAAGGATGATACAAATGTTAAAACCTGACGACTTTAGTACTCAACCTTTAACCATTGACTATTGGATACTGAATAAGACATCCCATCTATATGAACCAGCTATATCACCAATATTTATAAAAAAAGAATGTAGTTTGTGAGCCAGTCACAGAATGCGCTAGTGTCTAAAATTTTAAATTCTATTATTTACCTAATCTTTAGTTGCTTACCAGGTTGGTGGATCCTAACAATTGCTATAGCTCACAATAAGTCATTATATGTATTAGTTTGCCTTGGTAAAAAAGTTTGTGTACTAAATAAAATTTAGTAATTTAGATCAGCGCAATCTGTCAGTGGCTCACATCAACTACGACGATTTTGACAAATTTAACATGGGAATGGAATGTCTAGTTGTATTAATAGTCAAAGCTTTAACTAATGTAATGTGAGGTTTGTAAGCTTAAGTATAGTTACCTTTTTACCAAACATTATGTTGTTTAAAATGTATTAGCCTCAATGGTTTATTAAATAAATCATTTAGTTTAGACAATTAAGTTTTTTTACCAACATATCAAGAGCAATTTGTTTTTAACTGTGCCAACTATTTAATTGTATTTTTTTATTTAAGTTTATTAGCAACATGATGAACTCACAATATATTGATCAACTGATGGTATTGATTATTCTTCTAAAAATTATCCTAGTTGATCAGGAAAAGCTAATTATATCATTAACATACAACATCCCATATGTGCCTCCTTCAAAATGTAAACGGTCAAGGATAAATTTAAAAATATAGGCTATGAGGGAGAGAGAAATAGCATCTTCCATTTTCCAATAATATAAGTGAATTAAACGGATTTACTTTGTTTTATTTCTACACAGCAAGTTTTGCATAGTCATAATAGCCTAATTGAGTTTCATTTGTAAGAAATCATACATACATTTTAGCCAGGTAAAAACGACGAATCCCATAGGTAACTACTATGTCCTGCTTATCATATGATATCTGCAGAACACTATTTTATCATTTTTTGACACAAAGATAAAAAAATTTGGTTACTAACCTGTCGACTATCAGTCCTCTATTGTCTTGGATGACTATAGTTTCAGGGTTAAGACCACATTTTCAAATCTTCTCTTCAGTCGTCAAATGTCAAACATATTCTCTTGCATAAGCCGTCGTCAAAATTACTTCACACATACACATAAACACACAGAAAACATTTATATTTACAAAGCATGTACATGCGCGTGAGGCCGGCCAAGGACAAAACCAGACTGCCAGTTTAGTTTTACACTGCATTTTAGCACTACATTTACTTTAACACTACATTTACTGCCAGTCTGGTTTTGTCCTTGGCCGGCCTCACGCGCATGTACATGATTTGTAAATATAAATGTTTTCGTGTGTGTTTATGTGTATGTGTGAAGTAATTTTGACGACGGCTTATGCAAGAGAATATGTTTGACATTTGACGACTGAAGAGAAGACTTGAAAATGGGGTCTTAACACCGAAACTATAGTCATCCAAGACAATAGAGGACTGATTGACGACAGGTTAGTAACCTCATTTTATGTCAATAGATCAATCCTGGAGGCAAATTATGTATAAACAAAGATAAATGTTTGACACAACAAAATGTATATGAACTTACCCACAACCACACAAAAAAAACTCACACTCTCACTTTTTCGAGAAGTTCAAATTGATCCAATTAACTTTTACAGTCTTGGCTAAAGACTGACATCAATCATGTTCAAAACAAAAGAAATAATTAAAAACTGGTATTAAAATTAATTTTAAATATTAGTTTAGTTTAAAATATGCCCCAATAATAGTACTGTTGGGTAGCACTATAGTTTAAGGTAATCTTAAATTAAATTAAATAATTTCATCCTTTTTTTTAACGCACTACACTTTAAAGATCTTAAATTTAAAATACGACCCGCCCCAGCACGCTAAAGAATTGCCAACAAAAACTACATACAAACCTTGATAGTATTGTATCCCTCTCTAGATGAAACTCTGTGGAGACCTTGTTACCAAAGAACTTTGCAACAAACTGCAACATTAAAAATAAAATTACCTTTCAACTGAAATTTTATAGTCAATATAAAAAAAAATAATTTTTAAGTCAAGGGTCCCCCAGGGTATAAAATATTGTGTGTTGTTCTGTGTGTCTGCTTTATGACCTATGGCCTACCTGTACTTCTTCAAGGCCTTTTAAAAAAATAAAAATTATTGTTCCTAGTAGAAAGAGTTTACCAATGCAAGTTCTGCTCGTTTGAGACTCTTGTCGGTTTTTGTTTGTTATTTGTTATGTTATGTTATGTTACATCGGGGATATTCAGGATTTTTCCGCTATTGCAGAAGAGGATGATAATGTCTACACGACCACAGGAGATATTTAGAATTTGACCAAAATCATGGAAGATGATGATGATGTTCCTGTGATTGCGGAACATATTCAATATTGTGTAACATTCTTGGCAGACGACAATATCTTCACTACTGTGGGAGATGAACAGAATTAAGACGTGATAGCGGAAGACCATGATTATATCTACAGGACAGTGAGAGATGTTCATGATTTTACAGCGATTACAGAGGACAGACAATGTTTCCGATCTCTCAGTTACCGCTGAGAGATACTCAGAATTCTGCTTCAATTGTGGAAAATAGTAATGAAATTGAAGGAATTTGATGAGTTAAAATTTTAATTGGTAAGCTAGAATTTTTCATTGCTTCTTTAACATTTTCTTTGCTTCAGAAACACCTCAATCCCTCAAAATTACATTTTGTAAGGACATAAAGACCCAGGTTGGTGTAGTATAACCAATCTATACAGTAAAATTGGTCAAATTAAACAAAAGGCATTGGTCCCGAGAATTGATAAATTTTGGTATCGACACATCTCTATTTTATAATAAATACTGTAAAACGACACTCACTTCATTCTCCGCAAAACTCTTGCAGCAGCCCATGCTGATGAACATGTGGATTAGAAGATATACAACCATGAAGACATAGATGATGGAATACACAACCAGGCCAACGACGATCAAGTAGTTGGACCAAGAGGACATTACTGACTTAACTACAAAAATCACATTGATTGCTAACACAGTCAGTGATAGCAGGACGGACACGAGTTTGTTTTCCCTGTAAATAAGAAAAAACATAAGTAATAATAAACAGAACAATAAATCAACACAAGGAAAAAACACTACGTGAATAGGTAACTTTAATTGCCTATTATGGTTCATTATTGTTTCTAAAATATTTTAGGTATTACCGTGGATCATTCTCAAACAGGATAGAAAATTAACAAATATTCTCTAGCGATTTAAACCTTAAATATACATAACCTTGAAAATAGTCCTTCGAATGAGGGATTCCTCTAAATCCAAATACATACAAATTATGAATCTATTAATTAATTCTAGTTAAGACAAAGCAATCAACTTTAGAAGTAAATTAACCTGACTACACACTGAAATCCAGCAGAAGCAAGGAAACTTTAAGTTTAAGCTAAGCTTTTCTCTACAATAAAAAACCCCCACTTTGGACATTTCAATTACAGGGTGTCTACTACATTCTGGATAAAAAATTCATGGACAATTCCCGTACATTTAAGGACACTTTGCCGTAACCTTTGTCGGTGTCATTAGGCCTACCGAATAATTTTCCTGATTTGTCAAACTGTATTAATCTTGTTATTAACTGCAGTTGTACCAGAGAGAAAAGTAAATAATAATAGATAGCCTAAGAGTTAAAAATTTCAAAATAGAAATTTATTGAAAGTAAACAAGCATAGGCCTACCTATACTTAGGTAAAGCTTTTATAGTGTAACAGAGAAACGCAATCATTGTCTCCTGCGATCGCGACAAATATTTCCATCGGTCACATAAACTTCATAACATAGCTTATACGATCCAGGCGGATTAATTTGGCATGATTCGCCCTGGCACAACGTTAGGCTCTCGACTAATAAAAAAAAAATCTTTAATGCATATTGTTACTCAGTTCTTAGTACAAAATCAAGGTATTGTAAGCGGCTACCAATAAGCAATAAGCACAGACTAAGATTATTGCATTTTCATTTGCAAAGTTAATATCGACACATAGCTTTCATTAGTTGTTTATCTAGGCTCAATTACATTTTCTTAATATATTTTACAGCTATTTCAAGAATCAAAATACCCAGGCCTAGGCCTAATTATATAGGAGGGCCTATATAAACTGGGTAACAAACAATGAGGTTATAATAGCAGCAAAGTCACTATCATCATTCTAGTTCATAAGATTTAGATTGCTTAAAGCATACAACTCAATAAATAAATATATGGGAAACAAAAAACATTGAAAACTGAATAGCCAACAATATAAGACAAAGATACAGAAAATGCAATGACATAATTTGAAACCAAGCAGGCCTACATAGTGATAAAACATTAATGCAAACAACAATGCTTGTGGTTTTGTCAATTGAAAGATAAAATATCCATAAAAAAGGGGTTAACTTACAAAATAAGACTGTAGATTATTTACATGTTTAATATGAAACCATAAACAGTTTTATAGCACTAGGCAATGGCCGCGGCAAATTGAATCGAAAGTACAAGTAAGAAGTGAAATTTAACAGCCATTATAAAGCTATTATTTTCACGATAAAATAGGTTTGGGATCTCATAATAATTCCTCATAATATAATCTCATAATAAGCCCTAGTAATAAAAAAAGAAGTTGTAGAGGAATAAAAGTGATACAACTTTTATGAGCTAGCTAACTGAGTCAACAGTTCTTGGAAGTACTTGACTTGACACTTGATTGTCGTGATAAAATATTAATGGTTTGAGATTGCTAATGGGATTTTTATTGCATAATTACTCTAGTAATAAATTATGAAAATGTAAACAAACATCTGATAAACCTTTTATGTGCTCCTAACCAACTAGCGACCAATAAAATTATGGCCCATTAAAAATTTAAGGACATAGTCTGGCATTTAAGGACAATTCCCGTACATTTCATGGCCAGTAAAAAATTAAGTACAATTCCCGGTTTTCCCGGATTTCCCGGTTGGTAGACACCCTGAATTAGGCCTACTTATACAGACAAGTATTCTTTGTTTGCAGTTGATTTTTGCTGATGAGTATTTATTATTTTCTAGCACAATCAGTAAAAACAAGTTTTAACGGTCAGGAATCTACTAGCTTGAGATTTTATAATAAGATTAGAAGACTACTTACAAAAAAATAGGTCAATGGAAAGACTTACCACCCATTGACAAACTCTCCCATGATTTGGGGGTTGCTAGTGAAAGCTATCGTGGGAATGGTAGCAAACGGAAGCTGCAAGCTCATAACTGCGTTGAGAATATCGTTCATACCACTCAGATCTGTCATATTGTTGTAGAAAGCTACAAAGAACGTTGGCACGATGGCAACAGCTCGAGTCACTAGCACTCTCACCCACCTCTTCCAAGAAAGGTTTAGGAACCCCTGCAAGAAAGATTGATATGTATTACCATTGATTTAAGATACCAAAGTAAACATGTGATCTATGATATGTGGGGTTGAGACAATTTGTTTTGCAGCCCTTGTTTGTACTCAGAAGATAAGCCCAAGGCTTGCACTCAACTGAAATGACTTTAAGCTGGCTGCTTGTCACACAGTTGATTAACTCATCATACCTACACACATCTCTTCTACCTCATGTGTATTTTTCCGATGGAAACGAAGATCTTTGGCTGAGTGGACCAGTACAGTTACAGTAATAATGCTTTTACTTTCATCTAGCTTTTGATTTTTATGTGTTTTTTTCTGAGAATATACACAATTTTACTACAAAATATGTATTTATTTATTTTCAGTTTCAAAATGCAGTTTTTATTGCAAAAAAAAACTTAGCCTTAAATATATTGGTTAAAGGAAAGGCTATAGGCCACGATTTTGATTTTTAGAAAAAAGGATAGCAGCTAGCTTGCCTGATAAAAAGTCCAGACAGTGGTGGTCCGAGAATTTCATTGGGGGGGGGGGGGGTGACCACCCCGATATTCTCTTACAGGGAAGATGTTCGTCTGGGGGGTATGGAATTTCCCCCAGAAAAAAGGGTGGTCCGGGGGATGAACCAGCATGATCGGACCATGGGAACGGGGTTTTACGGGGGATTTTAAGAGGTAAAAAATATGGGTTTTCCAATTTTCGACCCTCAAAACACAAAATTGCTCTAATAGCTGCTGTCGTATATACAGTGTTCAGCCACCGTTCATTAGTTTATAACACTATTTACAAAACATTACATTTACATAGCCTACAAATAAAATCACAAACCACACCTGCTATGAATTTAGCTAGCTGTTCAGTAACAAAACTAGATTAGGTCAACGCCCAAAGAAACTTACAATTTCTTGATTAGCAAAAGTTGTTACAATGGTTTTTACTATACTCCATGTTATCTGGCCTTTTGCTCATCTAAACTGTCTTAACGAGTTCATGTCAAATAATCATACCTTAGTATTTACAGACAATAATATTATATACTAGGCCTATGCAAATAATATATAATTTTATCATCACTGGAAATTACCATTAAGTTTTTTGGTTTCATATTTTTCGTGACACTAAACCGCTAGTACTCACCTCCATAGTGAACTGACCAGCGTAACAGCCAGTCATCGTGCTGCTCTGCCCAGCCGCCAGTATGCCGATGGCCCAGATGTACATGGCCAAGTCTCCGAACTGACAACCAAGGAACACTCCTCCTTTGTAAATGTCCACCTCCAACGTGTCAGTATTGTTCTACAAGCAAAACTATTGTTTAATGTCTTTGTCAGGCTGAACAATCATTGTAACTAAATATATCAGTGAGAAAAGTAAAATATCTGTAAAATGGCATAGATGTTTCACTGTCAACACCTCGTTACTTTTGCAAATTAGTCCACAGGCTAGAAATAAGATGTTAAACCTCTTATTTAAAGATGTTAAACCTCTTATTTAAAGATGTTAAACCTCTTATTTAAGGAAAATTCCGTACATTCATGGCCAGGAAAAAAATTTATTACAATTCCCGATTTTTCCAGTTGGTAGACACCCTGAAGACTGCTGAATTAAGCTTTCCAATGATTGAAAAGCTAATTATACATTCGTAACATTTAATCAAATTGGATTCTCAAGTAGATTCTCCATCTATGGGTCAGTTGTAGCGTTGTAGCCAATTTTTAATTGAAGCATACTTAAATGAGCTAAATGGTGTGCCCTGTTGATTTCCTCCTTTAGTTTTTAGTAGTATGATATTTTATTTGACATAAAAGATGCTAAGGTAGTTAAGGGTAGTTTTTCCTTTCAATTTGTCTAGGGTGAAAAGTTAGCCAATTTGCCATAAACTGGCAATTTACATCAGCACACTATGTTAAGGGATCAATTTCACTACTTTCATTTTCATTCTAAGACAGTATACAACTTAAAATTGGGAATGGAACGTCCAGTTCTTTCCCATAGAATGTTACAATGTGATATCATCCCTACAACCAAAAACTCCAACATTAGTTTTGTGTTCAGTGGAATGAATTTATATTCTACTGAAATAACAGAGGAGATAAATGTCAAGTAAACTTTCTTTCAATAGATGGAAATATTTACACTTCCCAATTTTTTGATCTTAAAAATTATAAAGAAGCATAGCTAAAATCTTGAAAGATTTCAAGATAGGTATCAAATTGTCAAAATAAAATACTTACTGGGAAGACATCTGCATGTTGGTTGTGATTAGCGATGCAAATATTTCTCTGAAAAAGGCAATCACAAATTTAAAAGCTATGCACCATAAAATTTTCTTTATAAACATAAACCTAACTCGTTTTTCAATATAAAATATTTATTCAATGGTGAGTTTTGAGTTGTGTATAACATAGGTATTGTCTTTATTTTATATCAACTTGTACAACCACTTGTTAACACGTTCAATGCAGGTGACGAGTAACCTCGTCATCGCTGGCACTGCCAAGCGGCGCACGATGAGTATACTCGTCAAATCACCACTCCAAAATTATTGCCTCGATATGAGCTGAGCTGTCGATGGAGGATGTTATTTTTTGTTGCGCTGTATGAAGTAGTCCTTTGTGTTTCCTTGGGCGGCGTCAGTCCCATCACACACGGTTTTTGTTATTTGTGTGTATATTTTTGTGTTTTAGTGTGTTATATGACATGGGTGTTGTGCAATAGTGGATGATTATGGCTAATTCTTCACGGATTGATGACTTTCTCACTGAAGATGAACTAGGAGATAGGACAACAACCGTTTACAAAACAAACTATGGATTACTTTTGGTGTCACGTGCGTCAGTTCTACATGGCAGCCTGACGGGTGTATGACGAGTATTACTGACCCAAATGATAACGTCCTATATCTCGTCAAAAATTGAAAATTTTGACGAAATAACACCAGATTATCATTCAAAACGACATTTGAGAAGTTAATTTGAGTGTTCATATTTTAGCCATACAAGTGATATAGCCAATTACGGAGCCGCATTGAACGTGTTAAGCACTATTTTTCAAAAATTTTTTTTTCAAAAACTTAATTCATAAATCAATTTATTGGACGCAAATCAAGTTTTCTTCATAATTATTACTGCTTGACAAATAGACTACTGGGTACAAGTTTTAAGTCATATGATAACTAGGTGATAAAAATTATTCAAAAGTCTAAAGGTGTTTTTTACAGTTTTACTTATCTTCGTGGTTGCACATAACATCATTAGTACCTAAAAGAGATAACTTAGGAGTGTTAACACTTTGTTTCAGTAAATCCTAAACCTAGTGATGCCAAAATGCAGGGTAATATTCCCTAGGATACATCAGTGATCCAAAAGTAGGCTATACACAAATTCCTAGGAGGTATTTACTTAAAATGTTAGGTAGTTGGAGAAACAACTGGTTAACAGCAAATGTAATGGTTCTATGTTGTTGAGTATTAAAACTGCTAGTACTCAGATACAAATTTAATCTTCCTTTACATAAAAAATTCAATACAAAAATTATTATCAAAAGTACCAATTACATTACATTTTAGGGGGGTCAATATTAAGTTTACCAGACTTAAAACTATAAGTAGTACCTCAGTATTTTCAAGGTGTTTCTAATTTCTTAAAAATACCAAATTTTTGGGAATTTAATTATTCTAACGATTTTCAATTTGAGATAATATGCATAAAATATAACAACACAGTAAAACTAAATTTACTTATCTCATTTACATTCTATATTGTTTGTGGATTAAATGTGGAGAGTTACTAGATATGTTTACAGTCCTATACTTACAACATCAACGTTTGTCTTGTTGTAAAGTCCGTGGGCGAACACAGCAACAACAAACACGTTAATAACCAGAGACACTGCCAATGCGATCGTACTCTCTACAAAGTAGTACAGGTTTGCCTCTCTCACCTTGGCTGTATTTTTGCGGTCGATATTCCTTGACTGTAATGAAAAATTTTGGTTTAGAAAAACACTTGAAAATCTTGCATTGTAACAACCCAGTGTTTAAAGAATTAAAAGGAAAACAGGATTCCACAAACACACTTCATAAACCCTGTCATATCCCTTACGTGGTCAGCTGACTTTTCATCCTCACTGATGATGGCCATTTTACGAGCAATAACAGAACAGTATTGCCAATCACCAATAGATTTCGTCTAAGTGGTAATGCCATAGTCCTCTGGAAGTTATGTAAAAAACAATTCAGGGCTGGAGCCTAGAAAAACACACACTCATTGAAACTATATATTTTGTTAACAAATGCGTTGAATGGTTGTAAAAAAGCAGTATTGGCATAAGTAATCATAAATTTGGTGTGGTATGTATATATTATTATGTCATGATAGCCATCATTCCACACCAATGGCAAGATCATCCCACGATTGTGGCAAAATCTTTAAGATCTCCAGGATTGCAAATAGATTATCATCATTTTCCGCTATCTCAGTAAAATTAAATTGATTCTCTGTTTTAGTGTTTTCGCCAAAAGCCAGTAATACTGACATCTGACTTTGATACCTGACATTATTTCAGTAATTTTATCCCGTATGAAGTCTCACCTTGACCAGGCCGGAGTGCAGGTAGAGATTGTGAGGCATGATGACAGCCCCGATGATGCCAACACCTTGCAACAGAGCATCAGAGCTGCAGCCCTCACACCAAGGGATCACCAACCCCTTCAGCATCTGTCCTACATCAGGTTTCACTACGATGAACTGAAACATACCATTGTTGTACAGTTTTGGATTGAATTTAAAACACTATTTTTGATAGACATAAACCAAACTATACACTAGTTGGGTCCATATCTCTAACTATAACTCGTGAACTAGTTCATTACAACCCAAAAATGAAAATACACAAGTTTGAGTTGGGTTGGGTGATACAAATATGAAATTTGGACACGAGCAAAGTAAGGACATGCATAAAGTAGTAGTTGCTTAACTTGCATAATTTCAGGCCAACAATGTTTATTTTATTGGCATCCATAATTTGCCATTTGCATACAAAACTTATAAGAAAAAAGAGAAAGAGTCAAACAATTGTCTTAGCCAATACTTGGCCAAATCTAAAAATTTAATAATAATGTTAACATTAATATCTTTAAAGTACCATACTATCAAGCTTTGCTCTGGTTATTTCTGTAATATATTATATTCTTTAGTCGTAGAGGTGTGCGGATATCAAAAAAATCGGGTTGGATTCGGTTCAGTTCGGATATCCGTAACCGACCCAAGCCCAAATTTGATATCCGACACTATTCCTTAAATATCCAACTTTTTCAGATGGATTGTATATTACGACGTTTTAGACTGAAAACAAATCTTTATAAGATAATAAGCATTATTAGTGTCCACTTTCCAAGGACGTTATTTCAAAATTTCGTTTCCATTGACATGACAGCGCCAACGAGTAAGACTAATTGTCTAGTCGTCAAAACATTCAATGCGCGTCGTCTGGTATTCACCGTGAAAAATTATCGAATCAACAAACAACAGTACTGTAATAACAATAGATATCTAAGTAATTTGTGGTAGCGTAATCTAAGGCTTATGAAAAACCTAAAAAGTGTAGTTTTGAGCCAAGTATTAACAACCAAAGTTACGCCGAACACTAAATTTTATTGTATTTATTATTTTCTCGAGATTTACTTTAGCCTAGCTTAAAATATTTGTGAGTTCAAAGAAGAAGGCGTATTGATATCTCGTTTAGTCGTTATCGGCTGTTTTGCTTTATGATTATATTCATCTGGAACAAATAGACAAAAGCAGAAAAGAACTACTGAGGTCAAATTAAAGTCAACTTGTGATCGTCCCCTGAAACTAGGGGTGCTGCGTCACCATAATAGTTTACAGCCATTGGATGTAAGAAGGCAATTTTACAACAAACTGTTCGATAGTTTTGTCTCCGGCCACTTTGATAGCTAGCAGTGTTTTGGTTTTACAGTAGAAAAATATCTATTAACCATGATTATTTAGCAATGATTGTATTCGACCAGAAGAAATATTTGAATTTGAATAGTAATTCCATTATTTGCATTTTCACATGAATTTACTAGCCTGTATTGCACAATTGTTATATTTTAGGTCAATGACCTTTATTGGATCCGGACATCAATAAGTATAGGCTAAATACCCGTGGTTGAAAACAATTATTTTGTTAACCTATAAAACATTAGATAGCTCATTAAGAAGTATGAAATCATATATAAAGATAATAACAGCACTCGTAAAAAGTATATAAAGCCACGTAAAAAGGATATAAAGCCACGCATTCAATCCTTATCAATCACCCCATTAGAGACTACAAAGCCAAGTCGTTATCAGCCAAGTTTTTGTGACATAGCGCACACGACTGTACTGCAGGAGCAGTTGCTAGCGCGACTTGACCTTGGACTGCATTAATTTTTATTTCCTCAAATGAACTGTTTACGTTTTAAAAACAATAATTTGGGAGCCTAGCCTACTGCATATCAATAATGGACTGGAATAGTTGAACATAGGCTACAATCCTCCATTTTAACAAACTAGGATTACGATTTAAATACTGTACAATTTTTTAAATAATCTTGGTATTTTTCTTAGGATAATGATGATTCTGTTATGTAGTGTAATCATCTGTTCATCAAGGTTATACTGAATTATGTTTGAAGGTAAATACGTTAAATTATTAATTAAATTAAATAACATTAAATAAGAATTAAATTTAGCTATTCAGTAAATGCGTGATAGACAAGTTTTACAGTGTTATTTAACTTAATTGCCCTAATTAACTCGCCGGCAACATCTAATGGTAAGCTAGGGCCTATCGTTTGACATCAGTTGTCTCCTAAGCTGAAGTGTTGTGAGACGATTTCGGCTGCTGGGTGGACTAAAATGTATTCAAGCAACCAACTTTTGAAACTAGATGTTGTGAATTGTGATTTTCAAGAGAGAGAAAACAGTGGAACGTGGCTAATTCAAACTTTTATAATGCAAAATTGTCTTTAACATTTATTTACACAGCTTTAAATTGTATTATAGGTTTGGTATATAATTGTAAATTATTATTAAGCAACACCAAACTATCCAAATTCAAAAATATCCTAATCCGAACCTTCCAATATCCGATCCGATCCAAACCGAGGATTAACTATCCGATCTGAAATTAAATATCACTATCCACACACTTACTTTAGTATGAGAAATATGTTATCACGGTGGAAATTTATACTAGCTAACTTGAAGATATTGTTTAGTATATTTTAATTAGTGTCACCATGGCCTGCGAAGGGGTACGAGCGGTAGTCAACGGGGTTGTGCTAGCCCGGTCTTCTTATTGACTGCCACCAACTGCAGACTCTCATGGCCTCTAGGCCTACTGTAGTACAGCATTGGTGCTATGATTGCGACTATTACTTCAATCCACAGTGGTTAGTTTATTTAAATATAGCCTTATGTGTATATGTATTTACAGACATTCTGGAATGCTATACATATTGTTTAAAGCAACTTTTACATTGATAAAACTGCTTACCTCATATCCAAACGATATGGCCATGACAGTGATAAGGAATGCGAAGAGACACTCTAGCTTACGCAGACCGTACCTGTCCAGTAGCAGGAACGAGAAGGTGTCTGTAGCAGTGATGAGGACTCCAATCCACAGAGGGATCCTGACACAAGAATCACAACTTGATAAATCTGGATTGTTAAGGGCTGAAAAATGTATTTAAGGCTCTTTTCTATCATATTTGTCAATTTACTTTGGTTTGTATGTGTAAAAGGACACACTCATAAAAACATTGTTGTTTATGATTTCTAAAAATGTCTTCTTATTCATGACAAATAAATGAGGAAATGGGAGATTTTGCACACAGTTATGGACGTTAATACTGGCTCTAGAAAGTCACCCAACGGCTTTTAGGAGTATATGGCCGTAGTCTACAGTGTGTTTTGAAATTCATGAATGCAATCGTCATAGTTTAATTTTTTAAATGTCTATTTGTTCATGACAAACAACAGGTGAAATGGGAGTTTATGGACAATTGGGCACGGTTTTAGGTGTTAAAAATGGCTTTAGAAAGTCACCATATGGCTTTGAAAATTCCAAATTTTCCCCGGACCTCCTGACCCCTCCTTGACAAGGTCCTAGAACCGCCACTGACAGTTCTCATTCATAGGTGGACCTTCCCACATTACTTGAACCAATAGGTTGAGACTAGTGGTAGAATAGTAGCACTAATGAAAAATTATAAACTCAATTCTGTAAATTATATTGTAAGCCAGTGTCCAATATTTATATATTACAAACAGAAAATTTCTCAGTTTTTTCACCGGACCCAAATGATTGCAAATATTGATAACAACAAACACTCAACCAAAGACAGCAGATGTTAGCAAACATTTGTCACCCAGAAAGTCAGACAAATACTTTATCTGCCTTATAAAACAAATGTATCTTGCAAACACTAACTTACAACTTATTGGAGAGTAGGTAGAGCGCAATGGCTGTACCGATGACTTCCTGCATGTCTGAACCAATGATGGCCACCTCCGTCATCAGCCAGAGAAAGATACGAGGCACAGTTCGATACTTTCTATAGCACATCTCCGCCAGATGTAGACCCGTCACTACACCCAGCCTGGCAGACAACCTCTGCATCACCAGACCTAGGATGGTGGCACTCATCAGCAGCCATAGGAGCTGCACAGAGTACAGTGGTGTGAATAGAGTAGTATGTTGAAGTGGTCTTATGAAACCCACAGAGAGTAAGCTATAAGAGCTTCAGAGTAATTTAATGCATGATCAGTAGCTATAGAAGCTACATGGGGAAATGTTTAGCAGTAGTTAAGCAATAGGAGCTACAATATATCAATAGTAGTGTATTTTAATAGCTAACTGCAGTGAATAATTCCTATCGAACTAGGTGTACAAGCTGCACAGTGCATTGCATACCAAGAGACAAGCTATAGGAACTGCATAGAGTAATGCAATCTCAGCAACTCCAATATCTGTGTAAACTGTATAATTTATTCTGACAAGACCTCAAGAAGTGAAACCATATGATAATCTGACAATGGCAAAGTTACAAAACCACCTAAACATGCGTAGCCAGTTTCTTCAAACGATGCTCTACTCGTTCCAGATTGTCTGATGATGTATGTTTTAGTCCTTATTTGTCATTAACTGCAATCAAAATGAATTATAACTAACCTTATATTTAGCTAATGTGCCTGATTGCAGATCTGATTCTATGTTTCCTGGGTCTAGATAGGCAATACTCATGAGAAACCCTGGTCCTGTGAACGCCCATAGCTTTCTCCAACTAAACTTATCCTGCAAACAAACATAACATTTAAAACAATGTATTTACAACAAAAATGTTAGCACCTGGTGACATGTATGATCTATCCAAAACATAAATTAGATTGGTAGTACACCTATTACATTCCCACAACTACAATACTTTTTAAATTAATGATAACCTATCTGGTCGTCCTTTACACCTGATGATATTTTACTTTTGTACAGCTGAAGAAGTAATATTTAGGGCCAAAGTTGTTCTCATAAAACATTATTACAAGACAATACTTGACAAATGTACTTACTGTGCCTGTTTCTGGTATTAATATCCTGTTGTCTCCATAGTAGTCGTCACTGCCTGGCTGTAGAGTACTGTGTTCTGAGTTTAAGCTATCTTTACTGCATCTTTTGGAGTTCTCTATATTGTCCTCTTCCTCGTTGTAGTCCATCGTGGGCTGGAAACACAAAAATTTGTTAATTTTACCTAGAGCAAATATTACTAATCAATTATCAATTTTATTCTTTGAGATATCGATGCAAACTTGGGTGCGTGATAAATAAATATGAATACAAGGTGATTGTAGAATGGAGTGAGGTGATATATGTAGCTTCACAGCCTTATAGTAATAGAAGACCACGGCGAGACTAGAGTGACAACACCGCAGTCCAAGTCTCAAGGCAGCAAGTGAATTTATGACAACAGCTTATTTGAACTAAGCAGAAATAAAAAGCTGTGATACACATTGACAACTGTCACAGTAGAATTGTTTACAGTTATGTTTATTTTTTGATTTAATAAATTTGTAATATTGTGCAAAAAGGGTGATTTTACTTTTAAAATGCAAAATTCATCAACTTTTTTACTTAAAAATAAAAAAATTTATAAAAACGTATTGTGTTTGTTTTCCCCAAAAATAATGTCTGGGAAATGGAGTAGCATCCATATAAAATCCCAAAGTACTCATGAACTTTTGAGAAAACTACAAGTCACACCTCCATAAACCATATACTTAAAATGTTAATCATGACGGGAAACCTTGCGCAAAACTATCCATTATAATAATAATAATAGGTCAGTCAGTGTACCGGTCCGTACAACCACAACGCTAGTCACTTTTGTTTAGGCCGGCCAAAATATTAATTTTCAATGTTGCTTGTATATATATATATAAACTAGCTGGCCCGACAGACATCGTCCTGTCCTAATGTGGTTTTATGTCAAATGCTCGTTCATTTTCAAGATGAGCTCGTTCGCATGGCTCAATCACGTCCTGGTTGAAGTTCGTTCGCTACGCTCACTCACCTATAGGCTGGAGCTCGTTCGCTGTGCTCACTTGCCTTCAGTTACATTTGACAACAAATATTCGTAAAAAACAAATGGAATAGAAACCTATTTGACAGCTCTCATTTGTTATGCATGGATTTGTTTTTAAAAATTAGGTTAACATTACAACAGCTGTTTCCTTAATTTAATTTAATCAAGAAATGACAAACATGGCATGGTAAACAAAATAAAACATTCTTCCATAAGATTAACATGTAAACTGCAAAGGGCCATAGGACGCTTCCCTTAAGGGTTTTTGAAACGGAAACAGGCTATTATGTTATTCTAGTACCTAAGGAATATCCCTGTAAATTTTCATGCCAATTGGTTCAGTAGTTTTCTAGTTATAAACGCTGTAACTAACACAACATTCTTTTATATATTAAGATGTTTTGTATGTGAGTATATGTCTACATGTGAACTTCAACAATGACCAATGCTATTAACAGTAATTTAACAAGACAAGAAGATTTGACAATGGAGCTGTTAGCCCCGAAACTAAATCATAAAAATACGACTTGGATTGAAGACGTTAATAAGGTATTTAACCTTATACTAGGAGTACGCTCCGAAGTCGCGTATGAGAATGAACGAAGACAATTTCATACATACAAATATGTTATTTAACAGTAGATCAACCACATTCATATCAGTTGATCAGCTGCTCAAGAAGTTTTAACTTAATTAAGGCACTTATCAAATCCATAATACTATAGATGAAACAAACTCCCTAAGGGAGTATGTTAAATCTACAGTATGACAATACTTTTTCACCAAAGCAGTTTCTTTACTGCACTTTGGGCTTGTGTCATTAAAGCAGCTAGGACCAGGAATCAGGGAGATGGTTTATGCATGGAAACTTTGGTCCAAGGTCATAAGACAGGTTTGAGAAAATCCACTAAAAGAACGGGTAAATCTTTCCAAATTCCGTGATGTATAATCAAAGAATGTATTTCAATTTATTACTAAAACCAGCAATATTGCTAGAAAATGCTAAGCAATATAGGTTTGTCAATCTAATAAATAAAATCTCCAACAATTATTATTTGTGATGATTCATTGCTGTAATGTACAGCAGTGTGTAAGAACATCTCTCACATGACCCATAAGAAGAATTACAATCATATCACAATACATGAGAATTTAAAACTTGTGTGGCGAGGTGGAGGAGAAAACACTATTTTGAACCAGCAGAAACTGCTGATTTTGTTGTGCGAGTGATAAAACAAATGTTTTAAAGTTTTAAAACTTCATATTTAGATTCATATTTTAAGTCATTATGATAATAGTTTTAAATGCAAAATTACTATGAGGGAGTAAATATTTTCTAAATATCAAGTATTTTTTCCCTCCTACAACTTCACACACAATTGGAGAGTACTGTCAAATGTTCGACTTTCTAGAGGACGAGATCCTAAACATCGATGGTGAGGTTACTGTTTGGAGGGATTTTAATGCTAGTGTGGTGGAATGTGAAACAAACACAGGAAGGCGGTATGTTTGTAGAGAGGGCAGCCAGGCTAGCTCTCTATATCCTAAATACAGGTGACGTTTCCAACATCCGTCACCCCCGGCATGGAAAGATGGTCCCTGACATCTCTCTGGCATCTGAAGACCTAGCCCACCGGTCACTGATAGGAGAGTCTCTGAGGACTACTCTGCAAGCGACTTATCTGGCAATTTTCTTCAAGGATATTCCTGAACTTTCCTGAGCTGGGCAAATACACAATATGCCAGCTCAGTTCATCCATCTCAATGTATCTCAGTTGTCTTTGCCAGGGCACATTTCAGGGTTACATAAAAAATTAGCCTGTTGGGGACATTGGAAGTGCCTAATTTCAAGCTACGTTGACAATGCGTTCCACCATCTCCGGCATTTGATCGTTCCATGCCTAGGATTTTTGCCACCGCAGAAAGAAGCCAGTTAACTGGTGGAAACCCAAGATTGTAGAACCCTGGAGAATATGCCTTGAGCTCCAACGAGCAGCGCACCATGCCAGAAACTGGCCTGAAGCTAGATCGGCAGAGCTCAAGGCCGCAATTCAAGATCCCCATATAGTGCTATCAACTGGAGTAACGTCAGGTGCTGGAAGCAACTGTCAGGACATCCAGAACAATTCTTGAGTGATGGGCTACAAGATTGTAACCCAAATGATAGGGACTTGATCACCAACTACAGTCATGGAACCTGTCACCGTTGCTACTGTCATTGAAGCGTTATTTCCAAAGCATCCACCGCTACCAGCGAGGGAATTTGGAGATTAGGGCGCGTTACCAGCCTTTCGGGAAGAGGGACTTTCCTCCGCTGTCCCATTCCTTAGAAATGGAAGAGCACCTAGCCCTGATGGCATTCCTGCATAATTTCTACAGCTTGTTGGTGTTCATTAGACTGTTACTTGAGATACAAGTCGCTAACTAATACCTGAAGAATTCAGTACTCAATACAGAACTTGTAGTCATGGATTCTGCTATGCTGTAAGTTAGTTGAAACCAATCTTAAAACTTAAAGTGTGGCCTATCTTTACATTCTAAGTGGTATTGAACTTGGATTTAAATGCAATAATGTCTTGTAAATTTTTATTTGGTTGCTTGTTTTTATGAATATTAACTTTAAAATAACCTTTAGAGAGTCCCCATTTTCAAGTTTTACATCGAATGAAAGTTGTTTTTTTTTTTATATGGGACTCTTTTATCTCAAACATTCAGTAAATACCAATTTTCATTAAAAATTACCTCCACCGCAGCAAACCTGCCGACTAAGCGAATTTCTACTTGCCTTATTTGATTTTCACTTAAATGTATTTTAATAACATTAGGTTTATCGAGTACCTAGGTTTGCTAATACAAGGAGGGTGATAATAAAGTGTAATTTTTGGTAAAATACTTAATAGCTTAGAATAACAAAAAAATATATATATAACAGGGGAATTTCTTTTAAAATATTTTATTTTTTCTATTTTAAATAACCGTACGAAAACATCTCAATGTATTAAGTTTCTTCTGTTTTAAGCTGTTCAAAATGGTTTAGAGAGAAAATATTTAATTTTTATATAGTCCAAAATGAGAAAAACCAAATTTTACCCATAAATCTGTGTTCCCGTAGTTCGATCATGCTCCTGTGCTAACTCGTCCAAACAGGTTTGTATGAAATTTCATTGAAATTGGATGGTTTTTACTCGAGTTATCGTGCTTACGGACACAAACACACACACACATATATATATATTTATATATTAGTCTGAACAGATGGTGTTTTTGGCCACTGGAACATCAAAATTAAATATTAAAGTTGTTTCAGGTCTAGGTCTTACTCAGACCTGAGACAGTAATAGCTTATTCTCTATATATGAGTAATTCACTAAATAGTAGCTAAGAAACCAAACTAAAGAGTCATAGGCCTACAACTATCTATATATTAATAGTTTTAAATAATCCATAAACTTAAAACAAAAAGGGATTTCATGTAACAACCCTTTTCCAGCCTATCAAATTTAAAACTTAGGTAAGTCTCGGATTTTAATAGTTAGGTGTCATTTTAATGCTAATGATTGCAAATAGTAATTTTTCATAAAGAAATCTTTATTTTTTCCATACAACGTACAAACACAAAGATACATTTACAAAAAAAAAAAAACAATTACCATCTTAGGTTTAAATATACACTTTCATAATTTCCTTTAGGGCTTTACCCCCTCTAAGTTTAATTTATTTCTAGAGTCCATCCAAAGATTCTCGATCTTAAGGTCAGCATATCTGGTATGCTGAGAAACTTTCTTTATTAAGATTGATATGTGAATTGTTATTTACAGTGGCGGTTCTAGGGGCCTTGTTATGGAGGGCTACCAGGGTGTTCCTCACCAGTAGGGGTCTAAGAGCTGTCCCCTGGACAGTTTGCTATTTTTTACGTCACATTTAAGGTCTATAAACTATGTTCAAACACAACCGTTACTTATTTACGACAAAAATTAACTTATGTTTGAATTTATACTTCCAGGTCCAATATAAAAACTCCCGTGAGTGGCTTCAGCCTCTGTGCCCCCCCCCCCCCCCTTTGAATCGCCACTGATTTTAACAGCTGTAATTTAACAGCTGTAACTTTAGGTGAATGTTTAGCCACAGTCAGAATGTAAA